TGGGTCAAATTACCATTTTACCCCTAAGCACCTTTTTCACCTTAAGTACCACTGATTCTCTAATGAACAATCTGTTTATGGTCCGACCATTAAACATAAGTCTCTTTCGAGCTAGTGAAATAGTGGGGACCCTTGTTCAAGTCCCTGAGTCAACATTTAAGGGAACACTCATCTACTTACCCTAAAGTCGGGAAGGAGTGAACTCCATCTAGCGTAGTTATCTCCCTACTCGGTCTTATACCCAAAATGGTAGGATTATTGAGTCGGCAACTCGGGCCACTCTCACCCATACAAATCAAAGGACAATCCCTTATATGCAAGAGTTCATAACTCGCTTAGGATTAAGATTGAGTTACCTGGTCATCCTATGAAATATTAATCTTCTTAGTTTATTGGAATACGAGTAATGCAAAGAAACTATATACATTGTATATTAAATATATACATTGTATTTCAAATATATATTGTTCCAATTACATTAAATAACCTTGGATTTTAGTTTATTGGAATACGAGTAATGCAAAAGAATAATAAAATATCTTTGTATTGAATAAATAAATAATTTGTTCATTCATTACAAATACACGAGCTAAGGGACCAAACCCAACAATCTCCCACTTGTCCGAAAGTGAGTGAGACGTACAAGTATTACAAAGAACTAGGGCATAGAATATACCCAATAACATTTCCCACTTGCCCTAGACTAAATGACACGTCTCGTAAACCTAGACTCTCTATATGACCTTCAAACACTTTAGCCGTGAGGGCCTCTGTAAACGGATCAGTAATATTGTGCTCTGAAGCAATCTTCATGACGATCACATCTCCTCGTGGTACAATTTATCTTATCGAGTGATACGTCTTCTCTATGTGCTTGTCTCTCTTGTGGCTTCGAGGTTGCTTTAAATTTGCCACTGCACTACTATTATCACAATAGACTTCCAAGTCCGTCATGAACTTTTTCGAAGCCAAATAGCTTCATTAGCAGCTTTGCAAGCTGCTATATACTCATCTTCCATCGTGGAGTCTGCAATGCACCCTTGCTTAACACTCCACCAAACTACAGCCCTTCCATTCAAAGTGAACACTGATCTTGACGTGGATTTCCTCAAATCCTTGATAGTCTGAAAATCAGAGTCAATGTATCCTATAAGGATCAAATCCCTAGCACCATACACAAGCAAGTTGTCCTCGTTCTCCGAAGATACTTGAGGATTGTTTTGAGTGCAGTTCAATGACCAAGCCCTTGATTGCATAACATATGTCAGGCCTTGTACACAGCTTGGCATACATAAGGCTGGACATAGCTGACACATAGGGAATACATCTCGTATCCTCGACTTCTTGAGGTACCTTAAGACATTGTTCCCTTAGACAAAGCAACTCCATGCCTGAAAGCTGAAAGCTCTTTCTTGGAGTTTTGCATTGAATATCTTACCTATATTTTGTCAATATATGATGCCTGAGACAAGGCTAGCATTTTGTTTTTGCAATTCTTGAAATTTTGAATCCCAAGAACAAACTGAGCTTCTCGTAAATCTTTCATTTGGAATTGAGTTGCTAACCATTTTTTAACGTCAGTCAGAAAGCCTACCTCATTCACAATGAGTAAGATATTGTCCATGTATAATACCAAGAATACTACAGTACTATTGATGACCTTCTTATATACACAAGGTTCATCAACATTTTGGTCAAAACCATAAGATTTGACCGCGACGTTAAATCTTATGTTCCAATATCTTGAAGCTTGTTTCAACTCATAAATTGATCTTTTAAGCTTGCAAACTTTTTGCTCTTACCTTCTTTATGAATTCTTCTGGTTGAGTAATGTAGATCCTCTCATGAAGATATTCATTCAGAAAAGCAGTCTTGACATTCATTTGTCATATTTCATAGTCATAAAATGTTGTAATGAACAAGAGAATACGGATAGACTTCAGCATGGCAGCAAGGGAGAAAGTTTCTTCATAATCAACCCCCTCTTATTGGGTGTAACCCTTTGCCACGAGTCTAGCCTTGAAAGTCTGTACCTTCCCGTTGGCATCCCTCCTCCACTTGTAGATTCATTTACAACCTACAGGTTTTACACCATCAGGTTGATCCATAAGCTCTCATACATAATTAGAGTACAGAGACTATTTCTTAATCTGTAGCTTTGATTCATTCATCTTTGTCAACATCCTTCATTACTTGTTTGTAAGACAATGGATCCTCAATGTCATCATTAGGTATGACGACTTGGGATTCTATTAATCCCACGTAATGGTCAGGTTGGCTCACAACCCTCCCACTACTTCGAGGCCCTCTCTGATCTTAAGATGAATTATGTCGATTCAATGTACTGGCTTCAACAACAATCCTTATTGATGGACCAGCAATGTCCGTAACTCGTGTTGTCGTAATGATAGCTTCATTGAATACCATTTTACTTCGTGGTTTATGATCCCAAATATGGTATTCTTCTAAGAAAATAGCATTTGTCGATAAAAATACCTAATTATCTTTGGGGTCGAAGAAATAACCACCTCTCATTTCTTTGGGATAACCTACAAATAGGCATACCCTTTAACATGGTTTCAATTTCTTTGGGTTTGTGGTAAGCACATGTGCTGGACATCCCAAAACTCTAAGTGTCTTAAACTAGGTTTGCGACCTCTCCAGAGTTCAAAAGTTGTTTCAGAAACACTTTTTTACGGAACATTATTCAGGACATAAACTGCAGTCTCTATTACATAACCCTAAAACGAGTTATGTAACAGAGCATAGCTCATCATTGACCGATCCGTGTCTAACAAGGTTCTATTCTCCCTTCCGATACACCATTTCACTGAGGTGTACCAGGTGCTGTGAGCTGGAAAGTGATTCCATGTTCTATCATATAATCCTAGAATCTCAAATTCATGTACTCTCACCACGATCTGATCGAAGTGTTTTAATTGTTTTATCTAATAAATTTTAAACTTCAGTCTTATACTCTTTGAATTTTTCAAAAGCTTCAAACAAACGTTGCATTAGGTAAAGATACTCAAATCTTGAATAATCATCTATTAACAAGATGAAATATTCATACCCACTTCTGAAAATTCATCGAATCACAAAAATTTGAATGCACAAGTTCTAAGGGTTATTTGGCTCTAAGACCCTTTGCTGTAATAGATCTTTTAGCCATTTTTCCCTCTAAGCAAGAATCACATACTGGTAAAGAATTGTCTTCTAACTCGCATAGAAGACCACTCTTAACCAATTTCTCAATACTATCGAGATTGATGTGGCCCAACCTAAGGTGCCAAAGATGGGCATATTCTTTAAGAGAAAATTTGTCTTTTGGTCAATGTTGTTGCAATTTTAAACAACTTGGTGTTTAGAATTGTTTTAGTTAAAGTCGGTCATAAAACATACAAGCTATTTTGTAATTTAGCTGAACAAATCTCAACACTATTTCTTCAAATGAATGCTTCGTTTAAATTGAAATAAATAGAATTAGATTGTTCCAGCATACAAGATATAGAAATTAAGTTCCTCTTAATTTTAGGAACTATATACATATTATCTAATAACATGTATCTATTTCTAAAATATAGCTTGATGCTGCCAACTGCAACAGTAGAGACGACCTCCCCGAATCCAACTCTGAGAGTCATCTCTCTAGCCTCCAGCTGCCTCCAGGAACTAATTCCCTACAAAGAAAAACAAACGTGATTAGTGGCTCTCGAATGTATTATCCAGGCAGAATCATCGTTCTCCACTAAACAACTTTCCAGAACGAGTAAATCGAATTTACCTTCTTTGGCTTTCTTCTTCTCAGCCAAGTACTTCGAGCAGTTTGTTTTCCAATGCTCGTCAACGTTGTAGTGAAAACACTTTCCTTTGTCTGAAACCTTGGCTTCCTTGCTCTTTTGGGCAGCAACAGGGACAACTTTATTCCCCTTTCCACCCGTCCTCTTCTCGAACTTTTTAGAAGAAGAGACCTCAGACTTAGTCCCAAATGTCGAACCCCCCTTGGAAATTTTAATATTTATATAGGTTACATTGTACGATTGTGTGTGTTATGAACTATATAACCTATATAAATATTAATAATAATATAAGGAAAATATTGCATACATATGTGCTAAGATTAAGAAATACATGTTCTTTATTTGTTCGACTTGTTGTATGATTTTTTAAGTATCTGATTACTTATTATTCTTTCCTTTCGTTTAGGTAGCCTTTTGAACTTGATCATGTTAATGTACTGTTGTAATATATACCTACATAAAACAATAGAACATACCACATTGTCATCAAACTAACTACAAACTAAAAGAACATATAATCRATTCAAATAATAATATTGTACGATTGTGTGTGGTATAAACTATATACGTCAGTACTTATGTGTCAACTATAAACTATATAATTATATATCCCAATAGACAATACAGACAACTAATCTAATAAAATATCCTCTATAATCAAATAAATCCTTATCAAGTGCTCAATACGGGCACGACTTAAGACAGAATCAATCTTAACTCACATTAACATAAATTACTTATTTTTAGATATAAACTACGTCTGGATGTGAACAATAAGTATTAAATAATCAATCTCACACTTAGATAGACCTATATGATAAATATAAAATATATCATACTCAACTTGAGTAATTTTATTTTACTTCACGGATCGATACTAGATAAGACTCTGACAATTAAAAGTTAAAAGTCTTCACATAAACTAATTTTTGGTGGACGTTCAATTTATGAAGTCCAAACCATCTTAAACTGTAACCAACATTTCATAACCATGAAATATGAATTTAAAACTGAACTCCAGATATAGCTGGATATTTAACCAAAATGAGCTTCAAATCAGATATAAATCAAAATCTGGATATTTTGTTTGCTGTTTCAATTGCCAACTTCTATTTCTGGTAATTTGTGACTAAAATTTGAGTATTGTTGTTTGGTTATCAGCTTGTCAAAGGTTCTTTGTGAAATACAAAAGTTGATGCATATAAGAACAGGGTTCTTTGTTGAAATACAAAAGTTGATGCATATAAGAACACAGTCCTGTTCGAATAGTTCGCCTAAGAATCTTTACTAAGATAGGTTCCTCAAACATGTTTTTAATACAATAGGGAAAACATATTCCTCTAGCAATAAATCCAGACAAACATAATCTAGAAAACATACTCACAAAACATACGTAAAGTTTTAACAATTGAGCACATAATCAAAACACCAAGATACTATTCGATGTACTTCCTCCCCTCGTAAGAAACATTTGTTGCATTTTGAGATGTTTCCTGTTAAATTCCTGGCTTTGAGCCTCCAATGCTTTCTTTATTTGTTCTTGGGTAGCCTTTTGATGGTCTTGGATCGCCTTTTGCCAATGCTTCCTCAGTCCTTTCAAGATGAGACTCTAATGACTGCACATATTCGTCAAGTATTTTGACGATCCTTGACTTTTTGTGGGCTTCGGTCCATATCCCGTTCCTATTAGATAGTTTGATCTTTTCCCAATGACCATCTCAATTATTTCTTCTGTTTTTTGGTCTTATTGAGAAGCATAATATGCTTTTAATGTAATCATTTATTCCTAAAAAAATAAAGGTGTCGTTAAAGACTTTGAGTTATATCTTACATCAACACTTTACATATTAAAACATTAAACGAATACTCACATATGCTTCCCTCGTTTCCTCATTAATCCAATTTTTTTTCCTAAGCGTATTGAAGAATATATGAATGAGACTGAAATATGTCTCATCTTCTTTTCTCAATTCAAAGACATTATTAAGTTATAGTAAGAATAATAAGAACCTAAAATCTAAAGTCACGATACAATTCAAATAAATTATTGGATTCATACCAAATCTTCTCGATGACATTGAATGATTTTGGTCCACCTCGATGATTGAACCTCAATTTACTACATGCCACTTTATTTTTTGCAGATTTTTCCTACAAAATTACATGTTTAGTTAAGAAACGATACTTATAAAATGATAACAAAGAATTAAACTCTTTTTTTTTAATAAGAAACTACGCTTCATTGAGAAAAATGAAACAAGAAATACAAAGAGGGCCTACAAAAAGACAGCCCTGAAGAAGGGAGCCCCTAAAGAAAAGAGCGCAAATCCAAACGAATGAATCCTAACGGATAATTACAAAAGGCCTTGGAAACAGAGCCTCATAATGAAGTATTAAATCTAATGAGCTCCTATATATAATCCACATATTTCTCCACCCTCTAAACAATCTGTGATTCCGCTCCAACCAAATACCCCAAAGAGTAGCCAAAAAACAAGCTTGCAACAAGAAACACTCCCTATCCCGAAAATGAAGGTGTAACAACACATCCATCATCGTCCTACAATCCCTTGCACAGAGCCATATCATCCCAAAACACCTAAAGAAACGATGCCAAAGATCTTGCGCAAACTGACAAGTCCACAACAAATGTTCAAGGTCTTCCGAGACACTCCTACAGAGAACATACTACGGGCCTAGACAAGAGAAAAACATCATCTGGATATGATCCAAGGTATTGAATTTTCCAAGAAAGACTTGCCACACGAAAAACTTAATCTTCTTTGGAATTTTAATCTTCCAAAGGGAGGTAAACCAAGGGGGCGAAGGGGAAAAGGAGAACGGGGAATTCAAGATATGAAAAAATGAGCTACAAGAAAAACCTTTTGAAGGGTTGTGGTCCACATCCTCACGTCTTCCCTCCTAGAATAGGAGGGCACCTCAGACAACAAAGCAAGTAAAGCAGAAACCTCTAAAGCTTCTCGATTCGTCAAAGAATGAGAAAGACCCAAGGAAATGGAAGGACCCACCCCCTCTAACTTATAACTTAAGCCATCGAAAAAAGTTCTTTATCAGAAAGATGATAGAGCCGAGGGAATGCTATGCACAGAGATTTATCTCCTACCCCAAGAATCCTCCCAGAAATAAGTGTTACGACCATCCTCCACAATAGAACAAAGAGATTGAGAAAAAATGGGGAAACACAAAGCAATACCCTTCCAAGGGTTGTTATTGTTCACCTTAGACCCACCTGTCGAGACCCAATCGAACGGGTGTGACCCATACTTGCTCACAATAATCCTTATGGCGCTATATTCATGGAAGAAACAATAAAACCACTTAGCCAAGAAAGCCTCATTCCTAAGCCTCAAGTTCCCAAGGCCCAAGCTCCCTGCTTCCAGGGGCTTGGTAGACCTCTTTCCAACTAACTAAATGAGCTCC